AGACGAACATTAGTCATCCACAGGGACTATTATTTTGGTTCTCGTGTCAACTGATGTTAGTTGAGCTAGGTCAAGTGACCCACGTCTGTAGTTGCTGTCTAATAATAAGTGACAACTGTCTTGTCCTGTTAATACACCATAAAAAAGCAAGCAGAGAAAAAACAAGCTATTGAAAAGCCGCAAAATGTTTGCATGCCCTCAACTTAAGAATAAAACACAGACATACCTCAGTCTTTGTATGATCCTGCTGCAAGTCTTGGCTCCAAATGAGTTAGTTTTACGCACTCTCTTTTATGTCCTCATGGATTCTCAAGGTTCTGAGTGACTTTGTTTTCATATGTTTTTATCCCTTGGCTGCACAATTCAAACTCAGTGCAGTCCACAGGCAGTAAAGCAATGCTGCTTAATGAGTCCTCTTCGTAACTGCTCAGATTCTGAACTAATCTACCTTTTATTGATCAGGCATAAAGCCAAGCTGTGTCCTCACTGCGCCCGCTTCTTGTTTTGGTCCTGCTGCTCCACACTGCTCCATAGTATGCCACAGTATGCTGTCCTCCAACACACTCTGCCCTACTATGCCTTATCTTTTTACCTCCTCTTCTCACTTACTCTTTCTGCGGTGCTCCCTCTCTGCTCTTTCTGCTACTGTCCTCCTTCCCAGCATTCATGTATCCTGGTCTATAGCTGGGTGGAGAAAGAGAGCAAGAGAGAGAAAGAGAGAGAAAGAGAGGGAGAGAGAGGAAGTGACTTGCATCAGTGGGGTAGGGACTGTGTGTAAATTACCATACAAGTTAAAAAACAGGAAATGTAAATGGCAGCAAATGTATGTAAACAAAGTTGTAGCAGTCTGAAGAGGCAGTAATTACAAATTAAGCCTCTTTAACACTATTACTAATTTGAGTCTCTAATTTCTTTAATGTATGTGGTTTCTTTTACAGAGAAGGCACTTTTATTCTAGATCGGGTTTAGTCCAAGTAGAAAATAAGCATTCATGTATAGCTAATGTTTGATTTTTCACATTTTGGGCACACATCCTTTTATTATCAGGATGTGTGGCCCCATGTCTTCAGTGCTCTGGGGGGTCTTCGGATGCCCTGGGTCTCCTGGGCTTTTCTCTGTCTGCATCTAGTTCCCAGAGGCCATTGTTTCAGCTTCTCACTGCTCATTAAGTACATTTCATGACCAGTGTTGGGGTTGTTATGTGCGTATTTCACATTACTTTTCTTAAAAGCAATCAAGTACTTTCTTAATTACTCACTGGAAAAAGCAATTCAATACACTAAACATTACTTTCACTTTATTCCAGTAAACAATATATACCTTAAGCTAATGTTCTACATACCAACACAAATCCATATTCTAATGAGGACACATCTTTGAGGATGAGGATCTCTCTTTTAGTGATTAGATATGAACACAAAATCGACAGCACAAAGCAAAGTTGAAAACCAACCCAAATAGAATTCAAAATGATCGTCACAGTGATTCTACTTTAGCATGTAAAGACAGAAATGGAGGCAACAGTGTTTCAAGCCTGAACTCCTTATCACTTCCTCTGTAACGCCACTGCCTCTGTTGAAGTTCAGGGTCCAGTTGTGGCTTGGAATCACTCAGCTTCAACATCACTCTGGGTTTTTTTGTTTTTTTTGCCAGCTTTGCATTAGCATGCTGTCTGTGCAAATGTTTGCAAAAAGGAGCCAAAGTTATGTTAGCAGAATAATACAGATGTTTCTGTCCTGTACACAGTTTGCATTTCACCATCACACCCAGGTCCTTTGGCACAACAGTGGATGTAGACCATAATTCTGCTTGGACAGGACACCCTTAAAAAAGTACTTGTAATTAACATATAGTATTTCTATCGTACAGTGTACTTTTCTCCACATTTGCATTTAAAGCACTTCACCACATGTGTATTCTTACTTTTATGAATATTAATTACTTTTCAGATTCAGATTTTTTCTTGTTTTTGCAACTTTATTATGTTGTTGTGCAAAATTTTTGATGTCTTCACAAATAAATAAAAATAAATAAATAAATACATTAAAAAAAATGAGCTTTGAAGGTTTTTTCCTGCTGCTGACATTAAAGCATGGTTTCTACCTTTATCAAGTACTGCAGTTAAGCCCTGTGGAATTCTTTTCTTTTGGCAAATTTCTTTAATTATAACAACAATTTGAATATTGTCTTAATGGAAAAAAATATTATTTTCCATAGCAAACATGCAACATTCAAGTACATGTTTTAAGTGAATAAAAGTTTAATTTAATATCAATTAATGTGTATTTAATGTGTATTTTAAAAACCATGTATTTTTACATCTGACAAATAATTGATAAAACATCAAAATGTTTCTCATTTATGGATTTTAATGTGTCGTATATAAGCCCTTTGATGTATGTCATTTAAGTTTATGGACACTAGAGCCCACAGCCTCTAACATAATTTATCACCATTTATCACCAACAGGATATTCATAGGATATATTGAAATTATGAATAATCAAGTATGGTAATGTTTATATTTGCTGTCAAATAAATCAGGTTATGCACTATTATGGACCTCATAACATTGATTATAGTCAAGTGATCTTTGTACAATCTCTAAATAATATATTCCTAAAATAAAAAGATAAGAATGAGTTGTTTTATTACTGTATGTTTTGATGTTCACAATTCTTTTGCACCTGAAATGATTTTTTTGCATTGCATCATCTCCTACAATGTTATTACTTTCACAAGATTAAATCTTCAGCCAGCATTAGACAGCACTGCAAATTAAAGGAGAAAAGAAAGGATAAATTAGACAGGATGAAGAGGATTGTCATGGATGTTAAAACCTCCAAAAACTTTAAATACAAAAGCAAATGAAATCAAACTAAGAATATTCTAATACTTTAATGTTTTATATTCATACACTAATCTATTAAAATAATGAAAGTCCTGCTGCGCAAGGAAAATGCATCCATTCTGTGACCCTATATAGGTAATATATAGCATAGACTGGCTGCTGACTAATAATTTGGTTGGTAGTCAGCTCCGTTTAGACTGGAAAGATGAGAAATATGATGTGTTATAATTATTTATCAGACTATTGTTATCATCAGATATTAGCAAATTTGACTATGGAAACCAGGCTGTGTGTTGACTTCTGATTTCAAGAGATTGCACTCAAATTCCATCACTGCAGCTGTAGGGAACATGAGGCTGACTTTGTGAATAAAATATTATCTCATAGCCTCGGGGCAATTACACAGTATTGTATCAGGCAAAATGCCTACAGTGAAAATGGTTTAACTGTCACTGTAAGAGTTTTGTGTGGTTTGCATTTATTCATCATAACAGTTGGTTATGCTTTAGTGAAGACATTTGAAAAGGAAAATCGCTTTCCTTTAAAAAAAAAAAAAATCTTGCGAGGGTGTATTTTGCCTTGTTAGCGTGGTGACAATAGACTGATAATTTGACAAGTGGGCTTTGAATATTAGATGTGGGTCTAAGAGATGCACATACATTTACATTTTACTAAGGCTCTTTCTCTTTTTTTCAAACATGTTTCCTTTAGGCAAATATAATGACATATTAGAATAATTATAGCCCATCTTTGTAAACCATGAGAACTCCTGATAATAGTCTGTACATGTGAATCAGAGACAGCGACATTATTAATCCTTGGACTCTTGTTGTCATTTGTCACAATGCAATATGACTATCGAGAGTTTGGTTGTAGTTACCAATTAAGTTATACAAAGGTGATGAAGTGACATGGCTTGTGACTCTGTCTGGATCATATAAGTCTTTTGCAGACCTGTTAGGCTGTTTTTTGTAAGTCTAAAGTTGTTGCCCTTGCCATCAAATATTTGAGAATTTACTGAAAAGCTGTATGCAATTCAGCAGCTTCCAGAGTGCTATATTCTTGTTGAGTCACAATGGTGAAAACATATTTTAGTGAGGTTCAATAGCGTGCCATACAGCTGTAATATGAAATCCAAACACTTAAATTAGCAATTTTGTTTTTCATTTTAAAGCTGCATTTAAAAAAACTGCCACAAGAGGGCAGATAAACATTAATTATGCCCCTTCACTGTTTCTTCCTCTTCTATTTTTTACATCACTGTCAATATGTCAGTATGACTGCTAATTATCATCAGTCTGTTGGAAAGGGACTGACATTTATGTAACATTTTTCCCATCATACTGACCGCTCAAAGCAATTCAGACATACCTAAATCACATTTAACCATAGATTCATGCACTACATTGTTCTATGCACTTTAACCACTTTATCTACCTCACACTAATGAGTTAAAATCCCCAGTTAGACTAACATACGTGCTTTTAGGCTGTGCCAGGAAGTACCCAGAAGAAAGCTAGCAGGCCTGGTTAGAATGCTAATACAGAAAAAGGTGACCATGAGGTTTGAAGCAGGGACTTTCTTGTTAACCACTGCCCCCCTGTGCTACCCAGGAATGGAGGAAAGTCACAATCCTATGTACCAGTGTCTTCAGAATGAATTGTGTTAGAATGAAGTCAACTTTAAAGTAGAATTTGATGTCTTTAGATATTAATTCCACAAAAAGAAAGCCTTTTTACTTATTACATATGCTGGAAACAAAATGCTTATTAAATATGAACAGTATGGGTCGGCTGCAGCAAGAAAGCGGAGGAAGGGTGGTGTGCATTAATTACTTCTCCAGACAGATGGAGCCAGTGCAATGAATAGATAAAGGCTTTTCCTATTTTCCTAAAGAAAGACAAGTCTTTGTTCAAATAGAAGGGATGTTAAAGTCCCATGTTAATCATCATCCAGTCCCTTTCTCATGGCTATGCCAACTTTAAAATGTTGAGATCTTGGTGACATCGGATACTAATGCTGTATTTTCTCATTTCCTGCATTCCCACATTTCAAAATTCCACTGTTGCGAAAGTGGAGAGGAAAAAAAGGGCGTCACAGTCTACTGAAGGAGAAAATAAGCTGTTAGTTCAACTGAATTCAAAACACTGTTTGAGATATTTAAGAAAAAAAAAACTTTATTTGTGACGTATTAACAAAACACATTACCAGATTGATTAAATCATAAGAATCACTATGATCACCTTTACAATGATGAGCAGGTGTACAAAAAAGTTATTAACAGATCTGCACTGTCACAGTCGACTGGTATGTGCCACTCACCGCCACACCCAACGACTGAGGAACATTCACTATACACAAGCAGAGAATACATCAACTTTATTTTTTTTTTATTTCATTTTTTTGTATTTTGATATTTTTTTTCTTATTTTTCTGCCTTTTTCTCTACTGGGCAAGGGAAAGGTACGGAGGGTGAGCAAATTATATAATTTCACAATAGTGTCTGTTTGATCATCATTTCAAAGTTGAACACAAGTTAGTTTAAGGACTGATTTTCTTATCCATGAAAATCATATGGGTAAAAACAGAAAGAAAAAAAGGCATTTCATAGCATAACACAATAGCATTATGTATATCTAGAAGATTAAATTTATTTTCAACATGATAAAAAAATGTGTTTCTTTTAGGTTTTTCCACAAATTGCTGCTGCCATGTCTGTATTTACTGTATGTTTGTGTCTGTATGGAGAGGTGTGTGTATTGTCTTTGAGAATGTGTATCAGAGGTATATGTAAATATTCCAATACGCATTTCCCAGTGGAAAAACATATCTATGTATATATATATATATAGTATCTATATAGGATCTGTTTCCTTTGCTTATAACATGCAAACAGCCACTTGGTGATCTGACAGCACAGAAGTACACCTGAAGAACAGGGCAGGTGAGGAGGGAATAGTGTGCATGGGAAGGACTGAGCAGCACCTATATACCCCTATAGTGATCGGTAATATGGTGGTCTAATAAAAGGAACAGTGAGGTGAGATTTTATGACACTTTCAATCATGTTGACGCTGCTCCCATTTCTACCACACTATGTTTATACACAATATCAGTGCCAAAACTTCCCAGCAAACTTTTTCCCCCCATATTCATGTGGAGCCATAAAGCAAAAAAAGGGAAATTTTAAGGTGATGCCAGGTGAAGCCAATGAACTTTTGTTACCTTTCAGTCACAATTTTTATTATAATAGTAATTATCATAATTTGAATTCAGCCTCCAGCCTCTTTGTACTGCAGCTGAACTGTACTTCCCAGTCAGCGTTAACTGCAATACATGTGCTTGTGCAAAGGAGAAATGACTTGCCCAATAGTTTCTTTGTCTCCTACACTGTATCTACACAATGGACTACTATGACTGCTATTTTCTGACTCTCACTCCATCTTGCCTCATATCTAGCACAGCATAATCTCAGTTTCTGCTAAGTTCTCAGGCGTCTTCGCAATTCAGTGCATACAAGTCATGCGAGAGATGACAGAGCTGTCAACAATGAGCAACCAGAGGAGACATTCTGGCAGAAGCGCCTAAACTCAGCTGAAGTTGAGACAAAAAAAATGTCTATGAGAGTGTGACATGTGTCTATATGTCTATGTGTCTGTATCTGTGTAAATATGCAAATACACACATGTTACTGTTGTACAGTTCATTGAAGCAAAGTGGAAAGATGTCCAACCATGTTGATTTGAGGAAACAGGAGTAGAGCGAGGAAACAGGCGGCGGGCAAGCACATCCTACAAGCACTGAAGCAGGCGAGGCAGTGGCGCAAGGCTTAAAGAACAACTATTTAACATTCAAAGACAGAAGAGGACGGATCGGAACAGAAATGAAGTGACAAGCAGCGTTCCTGCTTCCTAGCCATATAATACACTCCCATGTTAAGGATGGCATTGGCCTTCAGTTTTTGGAGTTTCCACAAAGGGCTGCGTATTCTTTTCGTGTATTTTGAATTTATGTGTTCATGTGTGCGTATGTTTGATTTGTTGGATTGTGTGTAAGCGGCGGAGAGAAAATCAGTGTTTGTGTACAGTAATGTGTGTTTCAGACTGGGTGTGCTAATTCAGACCCCATTAACCTGTGTCATATTCCAAGAGAAGAAGCCATGTCAGGGGCTGGTTGCATCAGCTGCACGTAGGTTCCCTATTTATGGCCGAAGTCGCCATAATCCCATTTCAGGCATTGCTAAAATTACAAGCGGTACCACTACAGAAATCTGTCCAAACGTAACCTTAAGTAAACGCTAAAAATATTAAGCAAGCAATAAAGCAGGTGCAAATGATACAAGTCACACAAATGCACTCACTAACAATAAAGAATCTAGTTTTCTGCACGCAGCATTTTTTTTTTCTTTAGCAGTTCCCTGCTGTTTTGCAACTTGAAGAGCCACAGCCATGATTTTGAATGTTTCTGTCCATTGTCTACACATTGCACAAACACTTTGGGCTATTTTCAACTATTTAGTGTGTCATTCCTTTTTTGTTGGCATTAGATTCCATGGAATGTGAAAAATAATACGTTGAGACTCGCCTTAGGTACTGTACCTAATCTGGTTAATTGTGTCAGTGCAGTAGCTACACTATAGTGTGATGAAAATACGGCTTAAAGCAAGGACAAAATTCGATGTGTTCACTTTGATGAACAGTGTGAAACAGTTCCGAGTCTCAGCTAATGCATTTTTGTGCTATAGTCCATTAAAAAAAACAGGTAAAAAAAACCCAATAGAATTTCCAAAAACAAAATGATGTGCTTTAGAAAATGATTAGCCTTAAAAAATGATTGGTAGAAAGTGGACTAAAACATTCAAATACTAGCATTTTCCTTTAAAAGTCAAATGAGAATCGGCCATGTTTTATGCCAATCTAGTCCCAAAACCATCCAGTATATTGCTATTACTTATTTGCTACTCATTCTAACTTTTAATAATATCAAAAGATCTCACCTTTGAACTCACGTCTTAATACCTACTCTATCGTTGAATTTAGCGACATGCTAATTGCAAAGGAATTAGCAGTTATGAGGCCACCACTTTATACCCTAACCTGGGAACAAACTTGCGCATAGTTGGTGCAACCCAGTCCAGGTCCTCAGCCTCCACAATGTGCTATGTTACACTGAAACAGAGCTCTTTATTGAGCGTGGTCTAACTTCTTTCAGGCACCTTGTAGTCTCAAAGGTGCTAATCCTATGCTACGCATACTATATGCTGTTGTCTTTGCTCATTTTATTATATTTTTTACGTATTTATTTTTTATAAAAGCCCACATTTTTAGATTTTCTACAACGCCTCCATAATACTGAAGACAATAGCCCCGTTTATTATTTTTTTTAATTTTAAAGTTATTTCTTTTAGTTTTTACTTACCCTTGAACTAGTCAAAAGGAGGAGGGCCAGAGATGTCATCACAGGCAGCCTCAGTGGACAATGGTCGTTACAAATAGTACACCTTTTTTGGGTGCTATTTTTGTTGTTGTTATACAAACTGGGGGTGGGGGAAGGGGTTGGGGAAGTGGGGGTGGGCAGCAAATCACAAAGGCTAATCTAAGACAATAAATCATTTTCTGGTGTAATTTGGTCCATTCTTTCGATAAAGAGCATTTGTTTAACAAGTTCGCATGACGTTTGGAGCCAGGCCTGGTCTAATGAGGATTTGGCCACTATACAATGTCTATGCAAATATGGCGCAAGGAGGCTCCCTTGGTTCTACAATATGCATTTGGCTTATTTTTCTGGCTCTGAAATTGGGTAGTTTGTTAATAGCTTTGCTGTCATATCACCACTTCTCTAGTCATCACCGCTTTCATCTTTTCCTTTCTCCTTCTTATCTTTCTTGTCCTTCTTCTTCTTTTTCTTCTTCTTGGCGTCCTCCTTCTTGCCAAAGCTTATGAATTCACCCTTGTCATCCACAGGACCTGGGTCGTGGCGGATAGAGATGATGGCTGGAGATCCAGGAATGATGAAGGCTTCAGGTGGAATCTCTCCTGGTTTCAGGGGCTGAGGAAGGCCATAGCCTTGTCCAGCACCGTATCTGAAGTGCCAGCTGTTGCTGTTAACTCCAGCGCCCACTGGAGGTGATAGCTCTCCACCACCTTCTCCATCTACACAAGCGTGATTAAAAAATGGAAAAGAACAAAAAGGAAAAAGAAAAACAATGAAAAGAGAATAATTCATTACATTTTATTTATTTGTTAAAGGAACTGTTTAAAATTTTAGGGAATCAATATACTTAGCATTCTAGCTGAGAGATTCTGATTAAAAAAAGGAAAAAAATATTAACTTTTTAAAAACATCACATTATCTGGTACCCAGTTGCACCATAGAGATGCTAGTAAGCAGACTTAAATACCTTAAATCAGAGCTAGGCTAAAGCTATCCATTTGTTTCTAAAGCTTCCAAGCCAAACTATCCCAAAAGCCAAATAATGAAAAACTCAGCTAAATAAAATAAATGCAATATCACAGACCAAAATAATTTGGAAATCTTAAAGTAAGAGCAAAGTTAAATTGAAATGACAAAAAAGGAGAAAAGAGCTGAAATCAAAGCTATATAAGATATATTAAGGAAGTAAAATCTCAAATGAAAGCATCAATTGTCGAAAGAAGTGGTAAAGATGTGTAACTTGACTGATTTTGACTGATATCAATTTTCCATTAATCTTTTATCAATGAGGTGCATTTTGTTGGTACATTTACACATACGCGTTGTATACTCTTTCACTGCGGCCTTAACACGCAGCAATATTTTGATCGTTTTGCTTGTAAGTGGTAGAAGCATGATATGATACATTTGGCATTACAGGGTTAAATGTTGGCCTGACAATAGCCAAGATTCATATACTTTAAGGAGAGCAATGCAACCCAGTTCACTGAAGGGGACTGGAGGGGACTAACCTTTAAACCACAGGGATGTTTAACTTGGCAGTGCGATTTGTATTTGGATGATGGCTGCAGCATAATCCTACTCTCATTGGAAGCCAGAGACAAGGATTCAACAGTGCATGGATGTGAAAGATTAAGAAACCCAGATTGCGAATTGACAAAAAAATAAAAAATGAAGAAGGGATCTATAGCCTATATTGAATAATTATTTTGAAACGTGAGAAAAGGACCCATCTATTGAGGCCAAAGGGTCATACATTTTGTAACGCAAAAAGAAAGCGGATGCTAGATGAGATGAAGACGGAGAGAGAAGGGAGAGAGAGCGTGAATGAGAGAGAGGCAGTAAGAAAGATGGGGGTGGGCGGGTTTTGCAGACACGGCGCTCTCAGGCTCACACCAGTTCCCTCTGCGCTGACCTACTTTCAGCCTGGATAATATTTAGATCAAAAACGGGCCCCTACAAAAAGATTCTGTTTGATTTTTCTTTGTAGGCTATTTATGACATTGCTGGAGTGCTGAAATGATTTCAACCACTGCCCCACTGGGAAGTACACTATTTTGAAAATGTGTGCTCTTCAGACGCACAGTGTCCCACAAAGTCCCCACAACGAGTCCATTGAGTATAAAAATATATAACACGTACAGGCTACAATGACAGCAGATGTAATGGTCTCTACTGAACTGGTCAGTCAGTCGCTCTGCATTATTGTGCTGTTTAACCTCAGTGAGCATATAAAGTGTATAGGCATGCTTCATATAGGATTTATCATTGACTCATTGCAAGTACATTAGATATTAAATAAAGAAACTACAATGCCAGAAAGGGTCATTGATTTTAATATAGAAGGAGTAGTCAGATAAGAGACAAATAAATTATTAGTTCGAATTAGTTTCTGCTTGCAGAAGTGATCATTTAATTATTACACGTGTTTAACATTTTATAATTAGCACATAGAAGACAAGGTGATGGAAAAAAAGCAAAAAAAAAATTTAACAGAAACAATGGGGTATAGCCAGGGGTCAAATTGGGATTTGGCAGATGGGGGAACTGGAAGCTTGGGTGTCGCAGTGCAACGTGGGGGAAAGAATTACTTAGAAATAAGTCAAATAATAATTTGTTTAGCAAGCTCAGTAGAATTTTCTTTGCATGTAGACTGCGATCAGCTGACCTGTGCTGCTAGTCCAATATTCACTGCTTTAGCCAAATGAATTCAGCAAGATTTAAGGTGATATTTAATGGGGTAATGAGGAATTATAAAAGGTAGATTCAGTGAGTGAATCTAATCGGCATCATCATCTTAAATATACATTTCTGTGTGCTACCCTTATTGTAGTATAAGCTAGTAATAGTACCCTAGACGTAACCAGCCCAGCATAGTGCATCACTATATCAACTATATGTTTTACCGATGTTTAAAATGAATGAGGGTATAACATGTAAGATTCAAGTTTCTAGTCTATAAAATTTAACTTGCTGAGCAGTCCTTTGAAAATGATCTCCTTTCCTCTCTTTCTTACATGTTTCTCCATCTCTGACAGTGTCACACATTAACGTTTTATTTTCTCTCCGTGGGAAATACCGCAATTATCTGATGGATGCATTTTGTGACAAACTGTGCAGAAAGCGTTTGTTTGTTTGCTGATATTTGTTGAGCTGTTTGAAAAGATACATTCGAGTTTATGCTCCCTCCTGCTCAGCAGCTAGTTAAGCACTTCTACCAACTTTACGTCTGCGCCGTGAACGCATCACAGGGAAGAGAAAGGAAAAAGGGATGTGTTGAAAGTGTAAGCGTGCTGTGGGATGTCATTATTTTCTTACCACTGAGCAAATACCTCCAGGCTGTCACTGAAAGCAATGCTAGTCTGCAGCGCATGAAAATGAACTCATTCAATAGTAATAAGCATTAACCTGCCTATCAGATTTTATAACTCGCCAACTGTGGGAGCTGGACTGCTGTTCTAGATCCATCCAGGCCACATTAACACCTGGGTATCACTACTGAAGGCATGCAGAGTAATCTGGTTGACCTTTTTTCTTAAAATTCACCCAACTTTCTGCATTTTGTTTTGTTTCTTTGCTTAAATAACCAGCTAGTAATTATTTAGTGTCAGATGTTATTATCTCACATTAACATTAGTGGACTTACTACTAATAAACTCTAATGCCAGTCGTTTTAGGATTAGGATTATACCATTTGACAGTCTGTTAGCATATGTTTAATCTGTGCTCAACAAAGTCCGATTTAACTGATTCCATTGCTAAAGTGAGAAAGTCCACTTCTCATGTGGAGAAGAAAGAACTTTAAGTAATAAAATATGAAAAGATAGCTGCTCAGATGCACGAAAAACTGCGGGAGAAAATATAGTGCACTTTAATGCTCTATACATAGTATACAGTTCATTTTATGTAACAGACACACCATTTCCTGTTACCTGATAAGTCCTCTTAAAGGAAGGTGATTTTTTTGCTTAAATTTTGGGAGTTCTAAGTAATATTGTCTTATCTGATAGTTAAATGTTCACAAAGGATCTTTCCACATTTTACATTTTATTTTTACAGGTTAATGTATGTAAACATGCAATGTGAAAACACAGTATTAAAATTAATTTGGGGCAAGCGTTATAACCTGCAGTTTACTTTTCACCATAAAATTACACGTGACACAGTAGTTTGGACAGTAGTGGTGACACAGTAGTTGAGAACAAGCCATTAAAAGGTCATTAAAATTTCAACCTCATGTATTATGTATAATGTAGTCGGTGTAATTCGATGATTACCATACGAGTTAGAAACATTTTGTGTACTTTAAGTTTATATTCTGGTGGTGAAAGGTCAAATTAGGAATTCATCTTCATGGAATATCAAGTTTATTTAAATGCATTTCAGGTGCCAAGGAAAATCCTGAAGTTCACCTATAGACTGTATATAAAAGAGACTTATCCATGTGATATGTGATGTCACACTGTTTGTGAATTCCTGTTCTGAAGGCCTGATGCCTGCATGGCTTGTGTTCTTTTGTGTGTGTGTGTGTGGTGGTGGTGGTGGTGGTGGTGGGGTTTGAACAAGCAGTGAGCATATTTGGATCAATGGATATAAAGATATCAGTTGTCAAATATCAAAACTCAAGCAGAAACTCTTAGAAGGTCTATACCTCACAGCAAACCATATTATTTGTTAGATAACTACACTAAAAAATACTCCAGAAGGTACCAGAGAGACTTCCAGTTCAGTGACTCAAATTAGCTGAGGTAAAGCTTAGCGTCTACCTATCAGTCAAAGGGGCCATGGGCCTAATAATACATAGTGTTAAGCCTTTAAGCAATTTAAACAGGTGATCTCAATATATTAAAACTCACTCTAGAGTTCCCATAAAGGCCAAAACATTTCTGGTCTCCATAGAGGCTGTAAAAACATTTATTTCTGCTGTCTGGCAATTTACCATTGGGAGGGAGGGATTGGCTAAACCTTTGAGCCAGCGCTGCTTAATTTTTCATCCTGAAATGTTGCTATCGGTACTTGCGTTGGTGGAAACATCTGGATCTATAATCTGTAGTAAATAAATGTTTGGATGATCTTTAGATTTTCTACAATTTTAATTTTGATTTGTAACCATGTTACCATTACCTGCTTAGAGTACCAAATGTGTGTGGATATAGTATACACAGAGCAGAGGTCAAAAAGTTTGTATTTCTCTGCATGATGTACAGAGAAGTACAATATCCACTGACACAGCATACTGAAACAAATGGGTATCGCGTTAGTGTCTTGGAACATTCTAGGGCTTCATGCACTGGTTGAAAAAAATCCAGACCTCTGGCATTGTTAATTTAAAAAACAACCCACGTTTTAATTAAGACATTTCCTGTTTAGGTCATGTCACAGAGTGCAAAATTTTAAAGAGCTTTGCTGCCTTTGTGCTGCTGTTTATCTAACATGCCAGTGTTTCTTTTTAATAGCCTATACTTCACAGCAAATGGATTACACTGTAACTGCTAGTGAGCAGGGAAGTATAGCGAGGAGCATGTAGTGGCACCTGATGTGAAAATATAAGGGTGTCGGAAGCCTCATTTGGTGTAACCTACATTTAAAATAGGCTACTCTGAGACACGGTTCCATCTGAAATGAATCCCTCTGATGGTTTGTGGCACACTGAAATGCGACAGTCACAGTGCTCGTACATATATGTGACATGTACCACATGTATTCTGCATAGGAAGCATAAACCTTGCTTTTCCACCTGATATCCTCTAAAATGCCTTTTCTTTCTTTCTTAAAACCATGGTTTTGCCAAGTCCCCTTCCCCTTTACTCCTCTGTTTTTTTGTCTCTAAATATTCCATTCAGAGATATGACCGGTTGCTATGGAAACTGCCTTCGCCCACTCCCTGCTGATGGAGGGTGCGGCTGCTGCAGCAATCTCTCAGTTAGACAGTGTTGCCAGGCAACAGGTCACATGGTGTTCCCTAGCAACACCACTACTGCAGGAACCTGCCAATCCTCTTAACCTTTCTCTCTCTGTTTCTCCATCCCCCCACACCTCGCTTTTTTTCCCTCCATCCCCCTGTACGTCTCCTCTGTTCATCTTCTAATCACAGTTTCTTTAAATGTTGCCACATCTTTCTTTTTTTTATGGCACTTTCTTGTTTGTGATAACAGCACATCTCCCCCTCTGGCATCAGACAAATGTCTCCTCATCTGCACCAAGGGTCACTTACATAAACACAGTTTTGAAGGTGCCACATTTAGATGCATCACAGCATGTCGGAAGACTTCATTGTGATAAATCGCAGCAAAGATTTCTGGCACAACTTCACCTATTTCCAAGGTGCATGGAGAGGATGAAAGAATTCACAATGCAGGAACTCCAGCAACACTTGATGGAAGATGAAGAACTTTAATAATTGGCCAATTATTAATAATTGATCAATTATTAAAAGCTTCATTGTGATAACAGTTTGCTACAGATGTGAAAATGTGTCACAATAAAGGATGACGTGCAACAGAGAGGATAAACCTGTCTGTGCTATTGCACTAAGCCACTTCTAAAAATGTATTTCCTAATGCATCAGCAACAACTGGAAGGACCGCAGTATGCTGAGCACTCCGCTTAAAGATAATATTTGAGACAATATTTGAGTCTTTATAGGGGCGGAGTTGGCCAGATGGTTTCCATCTGCTGTAAGTAAAAAAATTGCACATTTTTTGCTGCACTCTGGCAGAGGGGAATACACTAGACCTGGGAAATGATGCAGCTGGTATCTCAAACAATTTCCCAACTTCCTTTTATACAGAGAGAAAAAAAATCTTTATTTATTCATGTTTACTGACAGGCAGTAAATTCATATTCTGTCCCTGGTTTGCCAAGTGATTTACTGTGATGCTACTCTTCACCCTCAAGTGTCTACGTATGTCCTAATTCCTGAAGCCAGACAGAAAATCAATGAATGGAAGCGGGGGTGGAAGAATAGGGGGACGGTTCACAGTGCTGAAACGTGGTTTTGAAATCTTGCTTACCAAAGTCTTCCAGCCTCTGTGCCCTTGTAAAGTTCCACACACAAACTTTTAAGCATTAGCTCTAAGACACACTTTCTGTAAAGCACAGGTCTATGAGTCCAGCTTTCTTTACACATCAGTTGTGTTGCAACATTTTTCAGCACTGTCACCCACTCACTAACTCATTCTTATAAGAGACAGCTGCCTTTTCTGATTTCTAGCTCTTGCTTGCTGCTGTTGTGGAAAGTGACAATATTCTAGGTATGAAAGTGCTCTGCATAAGGGTCCAACGGCTCTGGTGGCTATCTGACTATGCATGTTGCTTGGCCTATGGAACTCTGCATACATGCTAATTTGTTTGTTTGCTGACAGTTACATGATGAGACAAATGTCAATTACTTATTTATGGTAAATATTAATGGTGGATAAAAAGTTATAGATTAGGGTGCTGGTTTAGCTGAGTGGGTGAGCAGGTGACTGGCCGGGTTCAAGTCTGACCCGTGGCCTTTTGCTGCATGTCTTCCCCTCTCTCTCTCTCTCCCCGCTTTCCTGTCTATCTACACTGTCTCTATCCAATAAAGGTTAAAAGGCCAAAAAAATGATCTTACAAAAAAAGTTGCAGGTAGAGATTGAACACGGGTTCTTCTTCAAAAGAAGAACCCGTCAAATTTAGGAAAAAAATCTTTAAAATTTTGGCATAAGGTGTTGACCTTGGCAGTGGGCTTCACTGTTCAGCTGCCCTTTAAGTTATATCATGATGTAAGGACAAAAACAGCTTCTCATCCATCAAAAAGTAGAACTTTTTCCCTTTGCTTTATTTTATTGTTTTGTATTTTATTTTATTTCATTTTATTTTATTTTGTTTTATTGTGTTTTGGATTTTTAGTCTACTTTTTCTTGGGACACTTTTTTCTAATGTACAGTACTTTGGTCAACACTGTTGTTTTAAATGTGTTATATAAATCAACTTGACCTTGACCTAGATGGTTTAACCCAAATTATATTTTGGGCATCTGAACTATTTCTAGCTAAATATTCTGAACTACATCTAACTAACACAAAATCAGTTTAAAAAAATCTTCATCCTGTATCCTGATTCCTACATTTCCACTCACCTGCAGCACTAGATACAGTGGGCCAGTTCTGAACCAGCATGCCCTGGGCTCCCTGCATCACAGAGGACTCCTCCATGTGGACGGAACTGAAAGGCAATCACATATAGTCAGTGAAAAATTTGCAAACATTCAAATATTTAAAAATAGGACACATTTTCCTTAACATTCGGAGATTTTGTTATGAAATTCAAATGATTGTTGGTGCAGACCCTGGAATCCATCCACAACTGAGCAATTTAAAATAATAGTCTAATAAGATGACATTTCTGTTTAATATAAGGCAAATTAAGTGGTATTCAAATAGCTTAAAAACTTTCAAACAGCAATACTGATTATTTTAGACATTGACAGTGGCTTTCTGGCTCTCCAGAAAGAGAAGTTGTGGATACATTCATGTGGTCTTGTTGTAAGTGGGTACAGCCCCCCACCCCCACTTTAAAAAAAAAACCCCAAACCCAAACCATCCCACCCTTCAGGCTGAATACCTGTGCTTTGCCTCCTATGACAGAATATCTAAAGACTCAGGGCTTTTGTAATGCATTTAAATTGGTCTAGGAATAGCTATGAAGAAAGACGGAGCACATAAAAGAATGAGCGACTTTTCACAGAATAGAAATATGCATACTGACGACTACTGTAGGACTACATGAAGTGCTCTTTAAACTTTGCTGCTTATAATGGAAACTGAAAATAGCTGTTCTGTCCCAGATAACCAGCTGTTTTATGTGGTTGTGTTTGTGGTTGAAGTTGACCAGGATTAAGAACCGCTAAAACAGTGCGCACCAGTATACACTATAACTACACTAAAATACTATAACTATGGCCAAACACCTTGCTACATGAAAACAGTGCCACTTGCAAAGAATAACAAAGGTGCACTGCAAGTCTTCATTTTCATTCATTTTGGAGCTTCTATGTAAAATATGACTTGACGGATTTCTGCACTTGTAATCGTTCCATAGCTTTTGAAATTTATAAGCATAATGAACTATCCTGATCCATGCTCAGTGTTTTGAATAGTAATTGAATATATCTAAATTACTTTGATATCACAATAGAATAATGCATAAAATGCATATGTTTAATTGTGTGCCTTTAAAAAAAGTAATTCAACACTTTAAGTGACAAATACTTTCATATTCACTTTGAAATAATAGCATAATGTAGGTTAATGTAGTTGTTACATGTTTATACAAATACATAAGAATACTACTGTATATATAGTAGACAATAGTATATATAGAGCTTTTCAAATATAGAGCTTTTTAAAAAGATCAGTTAAACCAGTGAAAAAGTCATTTAACAGTCTATCAAATTTTTTACTAATTACAGATTTAGTACAGTGTGAGACTTTGTTTTGCCATCATTTTTGGGTGTGCTAGCTTTTCATCTTCCCTGTGATCTTTGTTTCATCTTGTGTGTGTTAGCAGGGGCTGAGCTAGAAGAAGCACAGTAGGGGAGAGACAGGTGAAGTGAAGACAGCAAAACTATTTAAGTTAAAGAGCACTTGGTACTTTTCTACGAGTGCAATAAGCCTACCAACAAATGTTAATCCGTTTGCATCCAAGGATGAACAGATGTCGATCCCAGATGTCTGAAAATCAGGCCAAAAATATCAGCATTTTCTAAATCAGCCAACCTGAATCTGCCAGCAGTAACAAGGTTGCTAGAAGTTCTCCTTCTGATGATAGGAAAGCTAGTTCTGGCCAGTGCCCTAGCAACCCCCAAACAAGAGGAAGAGATATGGCTTTCACCTACACTGGCTGCTAGAGAGAAAGACTATCAAGGGTACAATTAGGTGCAAAAATAGGAATTTAACTCAGTTCTGAGAAAGAAAAACAATTATTTTAGTTTGTCCAATTTTCTGAGTGACTGAGCAAACCTGCCCCTTTCCATCCTGGTCTCAGCCAGTTTTTAAGCTAAAGGAAGCCAACTGACAGCTTGCTGTATAGCTTTATCTTTACCATGCTGACACCGTGGTGTGAAAACAATCACATTTGAGGAAATGCATTTGGCAGAAAGTCCAAATATTTTGACTAAATATGAGTGTATGAGCTTATATAAAACTGCCACACCCACCCTAGCAAAAAATCTTTTCCCTCATCCATTTGTTATAAATATATAGTTAATTGTTGTTGACTAGGTTTTCTGCGGCGCATTAATACTATCATCTGCAACCTGCATTATCTTGATTTCCCCATGAAGAAAAAATGACCAGGTGTATTCTAAGCAGTTTGATGTATACGAATATGACACAGAAAGTACTGATGTACTGCACTTCTGTCTACACTCAGAATATGGGTCAACAGTGCTGGTGTTACATGCTGTTACATTACAGCACGCCTGTGTTGTGGCTAAGTGTTGATGTGAGCCATCTCTGTGTCTCTGTGTGTTTTACAGTCACTGTCATTTAAGAAGTGGCAGCGGCAAATTGCAGTGATGATTTATCTGAATCCATGTCATGTAACAGTGACTTGATGACAGAGTGCACATGATCCATACAAATTAACACTAATATCCAATTAAATCAACTTAGACTAAGAAGATGACTTCACAAATGAGCGGTAAGCACTGGTACCATGAAATTTGGGAGAGTTTTGCAGAAAGCATAGGCGTGTGAATAGTAAACACATTAATTCCTGATGTCCCTGCTGTTTTTAGATCAACTTATGGGGAAATAAATGACATTTTCTGACATAATCATGGGAAAACTGTTAAGTTTTGTTTTTGGGTAGAATTTTTTCTAATCGTTGGTGCTTTTTTCTATGATCCTCTTCATTTCAGTATTCTCTGATTTGCAGCTAATGACACTGCTTAAAGTGTAGTGCTTCATTAATTAGATATATGTAGGTGGGAATACTCGAATATTCATGAAAGAGCAAGCACACTAAAATCACAGCAATCTATTGTTGACACAATACCTAGGAGAGGTTTCAAGCCCAAATCTTAGAAATCATGATTTTAGGAGAGGATAATCATGGCTAGAGTAGTACAGTGTTTGTAGACTTAAAACAATTAAAATGTTTTAGTTTAATATGTCTTTGGAGGTGTTGTTTTGTGTGGATTTGGTCTAGCAATAAGAAGTGGAAAAACTTAGAGATGTAAAAAAACATCATCTTTGCACAATAATATGTGATACACAGAGAAATGCAAACGCATGCATGGGGTGGTGGTGAGGGGCAGTTGTACATGCAGACACTGAAGCACATGTGCATGTGATAATCTAGGAAATGTCATCATCTGCCTGTTTGTCCTTCATGCTTCCAGCTTAAAGACTGCAAGTGAGGGAGTGATGCTCAGAATGTAGATGACCTATATAGTATTTCACTGCAGAGGACCAAGGCTATGAATCCAGTGACCGAACCGCAAAGGCCTTTTCCCAAAGGGAGAGGTTGAGGTTAAAGGTTCAAACAAATGCTTAGGCGCCACTCACAGTCATTTCTGAAAAGCTACAGCATTAGTGTTGCAGTAGCTTTTTGAATCATTTCCATAGAGGTGTAGGGATAAATGTAACTGTAACATGTGAATAAATCATTTGCTTGGGGAATCGTATATGCTATAGCTGCAAGAGCAAAATGAGGGGTCTCTCTAATGGTGCAGACTAGATGGCGGCAGGATGAGTAGAGTGGAAAGGTGGAACCTTTTTTGAGATGATAAAAAGTTGCACAAGACTTTAACGTGGAAAATGCTTACCTCTGCACCCCTGCCCTCAAAGATGCAGAATATCTCCAGTCAGCATTCGGGGCTTTGGGCTGAGCGAGCAAGAGGGAGAGAGAGGTTGCGAGAGAAAAGAAAATGAAGGAGAGAGAGGTAGAGACAGAGAGGGAGGATGAAGAGAGTAAGTTTAGCTTGATCTCATACTGTGCAGAGCCATGGCCTCATCAATTAATCATGATACGCATCCCAGCTCTGGACGTGATAGGAACACTGCAGTTGTGTCACTGATTACAAGCACAAACACACACACTTATGCACGCACGCACGCGCGCGGACACACAAACACACACACACACACGAAAGGACTTTAATAAGGACAATGACTGCAAGCCATATTGACAGCTTCTGGACAGTCTCTCATTCCACTGTTCTGTAAATGTGTGAGCTGGGAGAGTAATGCCCTTTAAAGGAATACTATGATGACAGTACAGACTGATGCGTATGTGTTTGTGTGTCACTGGAGTAAATCTGTCTGCTCCTGATGAACCTAGCTGAGTGCTTCAAATTCCCAGCAGCCCTCTGGTAAATAATTGCCTTTAAACTCCAATAAAAAAGAGAGACCAGCCACATCCAATATCTCTGGCCTGCATTGGTCCTTGCTATATTAAGATACGGCTATCTCAGCTATCAACACATAGTATTTATAAAAGTATTTCCTCTTTACTTGTGTTCCTTTTCTGAATATCTCATCTAAAACATTAAATTATCATTAATCAATGGTAACTGTATGGACACATTTTAATAGTACATAGCACATTCTATACTTGCACTGAAAACCTGATAAACAACATTCCACATGAGCACAGAAATTTAAAAAGTATTGGTGAAGTTCAGATCTGGGGCTTGAGGCTATTCACCATTGAAAGCCTGCTAGGACTCCCAGAAATAAGTGGAAGTCCCAATATGACTTTGGTCATTGTAGATTTCACTGATGATTCTACATTTAAGTTCAAAGAACGTCCCCCTCTTTGCAATATAAATGGCATAGAAGGGGCAAGTCATTGTTTTAATGAGCTAATGCTTCACAGCCATTAATTATGCCGGACTCTTTCATAATCATGTTCTTCATGAGTAGGCACATGCACAACGCTGAATTTAAAAAAAACTGTGTTTAAGAAACAAACCTGCGCTGGCAGCAGCAAGTGTCCCAGATAAAGAAAGCACATCATGTTCCTTAGTTCATATCAGGGGGGAGTATTTTTTGCTGGTAGACCCAGCCCATTTGAGTAAATTTAATTTGCAAGGCTGATGAACACAGTGTGGAGGTTAATTTCATTTACACTGCTACACTTGTCTTGATCAGATTTATTTTTAAAATAACTAATTTACCAGAGACTGCCACCTGCTAATTAAGACAGGGAACTCGTGGAAAATCCAAACCTTCAACATCATATAAATTAAAAAACAACAACAACAAAAAAGCAAAAAACTAAAAATAACTAAAAAAATGAATATTTGTATCATCAGCAAGCATTAGTGATAAAAGCAGAATGTGTCACCCCAAACGTTTTTGCAAGAGTCATTTAAGACATAATCTAAATGACTTTAGAATAACTTTAAAATAAACACAAATGGAAATAATGTGCTCAGGAAATCACATAAGCCAAACCCTTGATTTTAATATTGCCAGTTAAAAAGCTCTATTATTAAATGAGGTTAACTCATTAATGATTCTCTTTTTTTTTTTAAAAAATCACCCAGAAGTCATAAATGCAATACAGCCATAAAAATAAACCTCAAAACTAACCATAATCAGAAATCAAGTCAGGAAACCCCAACTGCTCCTATGTCACTGCCTTACTCAGTCACACACAACAAAAACACAGACAAATCAAAACTGCATGCAAAGAGGGTGAGCAAGTAGTAGGAATGATACATGACCTGTTCCTGGTGTAGACGTGATGACAATCTCAAGGTGAAACACAAATCTCTGAATCATCAGAAATAACATAGGACCCTTGAAAAGCATCACAACTGACACTAATTCGGTGTGAGTGCTGAGCTAGGCTACACTAAGTTTGCAGTGCAAGTGGGAACTAAACAAAGAGACTGAAGCTTGCAGGGATTCAGTTCAGGAGAGGGTAAAAACCTGACGTGCAACATGTCATCTCCCTGCAGCAACAAAGTGACAGTGACAGAGAATATGGTAACACTGCACACTGGCACAATATTGGAATGAAAAGTCCGGTTTGGTATGTTTAAAAGTGCCTAATACTGCTTACACCTTGGTCAAATTCAAGACACTTTTTAAAACTTGAAGGTTCCTGACCTTCCGGCTATGCGAACAAAAGGTAAAAATAAAAAATTCATGACCCACCTCTGGGCAGATTTGGAGGGAGGCATCGGGCATGCTCAGTCTGCGTACAAATCCACTTCCACTGGTGAAAAAGCGGTCGGCACCGCTGCCCCAGGTGCCACTGATGGGTCGTCCTGTGTTGTAGAACATGAAAGTGTCACTGCCAGACGTGGCAGTCAGGCAGGTCTTGTAGCAGTAAGTCTTCGTTAGGGAGCCATTCCCACGTACTTCGATGTAGTGAGGCTCCACTTTAAGGTCTCTCCGAAGCACCACATTGTTATTAGGCTGGCCTGGAGCTCCACTGCTGCCACCTCCGCCAGCACTCACGCTGCTGTTCCCACCATCTGGAGGGGGTTTCTGTGACACACAGCATGGGGAACAGGACCCAGGCTGGGTGCAGTAGGCGTGGCAGCGGACGATAGCCAGCACCACCACAGTGACCAGGAAAACAAAGGTCGTGGCACTCAAAGCCACGGTCAAGTAGACGGTCACTTTGGACAAAGGGATTGGGCCTTGAGGTCGCATTATCCTCTTGGGATCAGACACCACTTTTGGTGGCACCTCCATGACTGCCACGTTAATAGTAGCAGTGGAGGAAAGAGCAGGCTGGCCATGATCCTTTACAAGAACAGTTAGAGTGAAGGAGGTGGAGTTGTCTTCCAAGATCCTCCGAGTGGTCCTGATCTCTCCGTTGTGTTCATGCACCTTGAACAAGTCCGGGTCAGTGGCTGTCTCCAGCACATACCCAAGCCAAGCATTTGGACCAGCGTCTGCATCGTATGCCACCACTTTGGTCACCAGGACACCAGGTTCGGCATTCTTTTGTACCGTCTCCAAGGAGCGCGTGCCATTGCCAGGGGGGTTGACTATCAGTGGTGCATGGTCATTCTGATCCATTATATAGATGTAGACTGTGGCGACGCGGCTGAGCGGAGGAATGCCCCCATCTTGGGCTTTGACCTGGAAGTGAAACTCTCTCAGTGACTCATAGTCAAAGGCTCGCAGGGCATAAGCCTCCCCTGTATCGGCCTTCACAGACACATATGAGGTGACAGGAATGCCGTGGTTGTTGTCATTGAGCACTGTGTAGGTGATGCGTGCGTTCTCTTTGATGTCGGCATCTCGAGCTTTCACAGTACACAAAGAGGCCCCGGGGGCATTGTTCTCAGCCACATAGACTGTATATGAGGTCTGTTCAAATCGTGGAGGGTTGTCATTAACATCTGCCACATCCACCTGTATAGTCTTCTGGGAGGATAGGGGAGGATTTCCTCCATCTGTGGCACTCAGAGTGACATTGTAGGCATCAGTGGTCTCACGGTCCAGAAAGGCTGAGGTAACCAGAGTGTAATAGTTTCTGAATGACTTGATCTTGAATGGAAGGCCTGCTGGGATCTCCAAGTTCACCTGCTTGTTAGCTCCAGAGTCTCGATCAGTAACACTAATAAGGGCCACAACTGTGTCTGCACGGGCATCCTCCCTCACGGGGCTCGACAGAGATGACAACACTATCTGAGGGACGTTGTCATTCACATCCACAACCTCTACTACCACCTTACAGTGTGCTGCCACAGCACCGGGGCCCCTGTCCATTGCCTGAATGTACATCTCATAGGAGTTAGTCTCTTCATAATCAACATTGTTTCTCACTCTTATCTCTCCTGTATTAGTGTCCATGCTGAACATCTGCCTCACTCTCTCCGGGGTGTAGCTGCTGAAGGAGTAATAAATCTCCCCATTTGTGCCCTCATCCAGGTCAGTTGCATTCAGTTTGATCACCAGGGTGTCTTTGGGGGAGTTTTCTAACACTTTCACTTTGTACACTGAGCTGTCAAATGAGGGAATATTGTCATTTGAGTCCAGTACCCGGACACTGATTTTAGTCGTCCCTGTTTTTTCCGGCGTCCCACCATCCACAGCACTTAGAATTAATTGATGGTAAGGCGTCTGCTCGCGATCAAGGGGCTTTTTGAGCACAAGCTCGATGTGCTTTGTATTTAGAGAGGGTTTGTTAGAAACCAGCGCGAAATGGTCGTTTGTGCTAAGCTGATACATGCGAACAGAATTTGACCCAGTATCTGGATCTTGAGCGTTTTCAATTGGGTAACGAGACCCCGGTAAAGCAGACTCTATTATTTCCAATTGATACTCGTCTCTGGGGAACTGCGGCGCATTGTCGTTGGCATCTACAATCTCCACCTCGACGTGGTGCACTTCAGTGGGGTTTTCAATCAGCACCTCTAGATTAATGAGGCAGGTGCTGGATAAATCGCACAGTGCCTCCCTGTCAATCCTTTCATTGACAAGCAGTTTCCCATTTTTGGGGTTGACAATCACATTGCGTTTGCCGCTGTTGGAGGTTACCTTGATTTTTCGGGTGGCGAGCTTTCGAATATCCAGCCCCAAGTCATGCGCCAGATCACCAACCAGTGCCCCATTTTCTAGTTCTTCTGTAATCGAATATCGTAACTGTCCAAATGAAAGGCCACAAAATAATGAAAATATCACAAAATAAAAAGGCACATTATTCCCTATCCGGTTGCACAGCCCAGCCACAGCCATTGCAAGCTCACAGGATCCGCAGACGGATTAAATGCAGCCTTCCGCCTTTTTAGCTTGCAGTATCTCGCATCCCAGCACCTCATTAAGGTGGGCTAATTGGTCTCCCGGTAAATGAAACAGAAGCGGCTCATCCACTGTGATACCCGGCTGAAGCGAATCCTCTCCAGCGCATCCATATTACCTTTGTCCGTGAGGCGCTTTTTTTTGTCTCCAATGCGCGCCGCTGACGGGTGTGTTTCCCTGTCGCTGGAGCCGTTAGATAATCAAGGCAGGCGAAGTTTTACCTTATGGAATCGGAAAAGACTGCTGTCCCTTTCAAAATAAAATTATAAGCGGTCTGTGCCCAAGTTTGCTTGCACTAGAAGTGAAGAAAAAATGACTTAACCAATCCAATATGTGGGATTATGTTAGGGGCTGAAATAAAAGGAAAAAGGTCACAGCTTGTCAAGGAGTTCTGTAATTCCTTGCTTACAAAAAAATTTGTAACATTTTGAACCATTATGAATAATAATTTGTTCATAATCACATAAAAATTTGTGATATGTCACTTAACTATTACCATTTTAAATAGTTATTTTAGTATTGATTAAAGACCTTTATGTGAGACGTGATGCTTGAACTGTATTACATTTTTTTTGCCTAATGTTGTATGACATGATTAAAAAGTATTATGTTTATGTATTTAATTTAGTTTAATATATGGAACTATGAACCAAGCACTACGGATCAAATATTTACACAGTATGTTCTGTGCAAAAAAAAATAAAGCAGTGCAGTCTGTTCATATTAGGTTTATTTTGAATGGATAACCGGAACTCATAAAATTCAATGTAGGTGACTTGACCTTGGAAGGACACTATCCGCCCTAGCGCGCACTCAGATTTCAGCTCTCTCCTCTCCGCTGTGGCGCAGCTCCCCGCTTCCCCCTCCACCCATTTCTCTCCTCTCATCCCCCCATTGCGATGTCGGTGTAAGGTCTGTGAGCTAACCACATATTAAAGCACCTCCAGAAAAAAAAAGAATGGCGACCACACAAAAAGACCACATAAATATTTGGCGTATGCATCCAGTCTCACCAGACTTTCATCCCGTAATTAAAATTAGCTGTGCAGCATGTGGCAAAATATTAATCGCAGACTTACAGGGAATTGATGATATAACGTGAATATTTAGTTAAAATGTTTTATTTGGCAGATTCTCTTGGATTCACTATTGCGCAAGAAGTGAGGGGTGGTGGTAGTGAATGGATCCGCCGAAACTCTCAGCGTAATAAAATACAAATGTGGGGAAACGTGTTCACAAACACAGACACATGTCCGGGAACTGGCTCATGTTTGTCGTCCTTTGTCTGCTCCGAAGTCGCAAGGATGGTTAATTTGCCAGTGGCGATTCTGCAGCGCAGCCTACCGCATGGCGATCATTTAGGCAAGGCACAGCAGCAAGAAACCATTGTACTGACAATCACAAGCTCCTCTCCACATGGATCACTGTCAGAGGCAGACCTCAGACTGTCAGGTCACATAATCGTATTAAAGAAGACCCATAAAGGACCCCATAAAGCAGAAGTCTCATTCCTTGTATGAAACATGATATACGATATACGGGTGAATGATGACAAAATGATGACAATATATATATATATATATATTGCACTTTTCACAGGATAAAAACCACAAAGTGCTTCACAGTAATATAAAACAGAATACATTAATAATCAAACATACAGCACAAATCTAATTAAAAGCCAATCTAAATAAATGAGTCTTAAGCTGCTTTTTAAAAGAGTAAATACAATCAAGGCAACGTAATGATGGAGGGAGAGCAGTCCACAACCACCTCTAGTCTTAAAATGAGTTCATGGGACTACCAACAGCCTTTGATTAGATGATCTCAGGCTGCGAGAGGGAGCGTGGGGTTCTAAAAGATCAGAAATGTAAGCTTTAAAAGTCAGTACCAAGATTTTAAAATGAATTCTAAAATGTACTGGAAGCCAGTGTAATGAACGTAACACTGGTGTAATGTGCTCTCTTTTTCGTGTCTTAGTTAAAAGCCTTGCAGCAGCATTCTGGACTAACTGGAGACGGTCAAGATTCCTTTTGCTCAAACAAAGAAAAAGACTGTTACAATAATCTAAGCGAGATGAAATAAAAGCATGAATAACCATTTCTAACTCAGATTTAGACAGCAAAGTTCGCAGTTTGGAGATGTTTCTTAGCTGAAAAAGGCAATTCAACTGGCGAGAGTGTTGTTCTAGGGACATGACAGAATCAAAGATCACACCAAGGTACCTGAGGCTCAGGTGAACAGATGAGCCAAGAGAACCAAGATGCTGTTTGATTAGAGATATCTAGTATATATATGCGTGTTTGTGTGTGTGTGTGTGTGTGTGTGTGTGTGTGAAAGGGGGGTACTAAAGGAGCAACAGAATCATAGGAAATGATCACAAATCATAGAAAACCATGACAGAGGTTTGCTAGGTCAGTAACCATGGCTTGGGGTAGAGCCAGAACATAACACCTATCACACTATGAATACAAAGGAAGCTCTACTGATTACACATTAGGAAGCTCAGAGCTTTATGGTGAATAACAAGGAAGAGTAATAGCAATTTGAGGTGAAAGCTAGCAAACCACTGGAAAAAAAGAGTGACTTGTATCATTTCAATGTAAAAGGGCAGCATTTTGTTTCTGATTAAGCTAAGGTCTGGGAAATCATTCCAAATCAGACAAGCAAAGTCGGTCACAACAGCTGGCAAGGCTGTCCTGATAGCCTTAAGCAGAATAGATCACTGGATGAATGCATCCAATGGAGGAAAGCCATAATGGCTCCTTTGGCTATTTATGCACAGTTAGCTGGACCACTAGAATGTGTTGCCATAATAATCAAAGTTTTATCAGTATTTCTGCAACAAAACATCACTTTAATGTCAATGCCATATGCTACTGAGATATCATGAATCACCACATAGCTGAAGTAAAGAAAAAACTGAGGAGAAAATAGGTTAAAACAGCCATCGATGTGTTTTTATTTAGTACACAGAAGATATTTTGCTACTTGCACAAAGCTGTTTCCCATCCTGCCCTAGAATTAGCATGTCCTTTGTCCCTAATTTGGATTTTTACAAGCTATTAAATTTCATCTTGGTGCTAATGCAGGGTTGTGATAGTGAAAAACAACAGGCACAAAAGAATTAAAGGTTTACAATATTAAGTCTCAGACCTCCCAATGTGTGAACTCCACACAGTTATGAAACAATATAATAATATAATAATAATGTAATAAAAAATATAATTAAGTAATTATTGAATATCGCCATATATAGAGAGGAGATAGAGGAGGTGGTGGACAAAATGGTGGTGGCTAACCAACCGGACATAGTGGTGGTAGACAAACAGAAGAAGACGGCTGTAGTGATCGATGTAGCGGTTCCGAATGACAGCAATATCAGGAAGAAGGAACACGAAAAGCTGGAGAAATACCAAGGGCTCAGAGAAGAGCTCGAGAGGATGTGGAGGGTGAAGGTAACGGTGGTCCCAGTGGTAATCGGAGCACTAGGTGCGGTGACTCCCAAGCTAGGCGAGTGGCTCCAGCAGATCCCGGGAATAACATCGGAGATCTCTGTCCAGAAGAGCGCAGTCCTGGGAACAGCTAAGATACTGCGCAGGACCCTCAAGCTCCCAGGCCTCTGGTAGAGGACCCGAGCTTGAAGGATAAACCGCCCACAGGGGCGTGCTGGGTGTGTATATATATATATATATGCATGTCATTCAGTTATTCTCCTTGCTGTTCACCTGTTCATCTGGTTATAGGAACCATTTTGCATTTGTTGCGTAAGACTTCTGTTTCCATAGCAACAGCAATTTGATGAATATGTGAGCTAAATTGGATGTGCTGTCCTCACACAGATCTATGCTTATTTATATTCCAACATAAAGAAAGGTCCGTGTTACGCTTACCAACAAAGAAAGAAGTGTGGGAGTACACCTTTCACCACAGAGATTTTTGAACTGATCTTAACTTTGCCTGCTGGGGAAAGTCTGTGCCTGTTCATGTTAATGTTCAATTTAACACAAGCCTTTTGTGACTTCTGTGACAGACATGGCCATTTTGCCAAACTGCACAGTATTTAATAGACTCCTGCTTGCATCTAAAACAACCAGCAGACGCATCATAAATGAGTGCAGCAGTAACCCCATGGCAAGGGCAACCATGCACATAGATAACCGGCCACAGGCATCACTCAAGATGGAGCATAAGTCACACTGCACTTCACTCCATCATAGTACATCCAGAAGATTACCCTCCAGTTCAACATTCACTATTTCCATCACTGGTCTCCCTGCGAGCGGGAAGCTTGCTTATTAGTATCCTGGTTATTCATGTTTGCATATCCACATCTTTAATATTCAATACATAAAACAAATTACAACAAACATACAAAAAAAGACAGATGTTGTCTGTGGAGATCTAGTGAAATAAATGGTAAATTTTGTAGATTCTGCAACAGATTTGTATCAGTGTCTTGTCCAGTGTGTCTCTCTAAATCAGAGTGACAGCCTGGTCATGTCCTTTTCTGCAATAATGTAATAACTGTTTTATCTTTGTCACACAGCCTCCTCACAAAATCAAACAAATGACAGGGATACTTTGCAGGAAACCTCTTTAGTTTTCTTTTAGCTGTAGTCCAGACCAAAGCTCTAGGTGATAAGACTCATGACCCCATTGTGCATGGGCTCCAGCCAGGGTATCTTGGCTGCTCATCTGACTCATGCATAAATAGGTCAAGTTCTCACATGCTGTCTGACACTTTGACCGATAATGCTGCCAATCTAATAGCAACATGGATTCCTAAATGAAACAACAAGGGTAAGCTTGTGTAGCAGGTAAAGCTGCTCTGATCTGACCTGATTAAATCAAACGTTTAAAATTGTTTTTTTCTGAACATCATATCCAGATGACAAGTGTGATAACTATTTTATACTGGACGATCCAGCATTGCTCCTCTTCCATCCTCAGAAGTCAGACTGACCCATTAACTTCTTGCCAAATCTGAGTGATGTCTTTATTATCCGATTTTAACAAATATGGGTCAGGTAAACCTTGTTTAACTCCGCCGTTGGAGGAGTTAAAGGAGGAGGGTTGGGCCTGGGGTTAGCAACCCCACCCCAGAGAAAATCTCAACCACTACAGGAAATGCCAATAAGAAAAACAGAGACTAACTTTCTGGAAGATGGAGGACCCCCGACAGTTCAGGGACGAATGACGCTAGGTGGTGAAA